GACCCATGAAAATGCCAAAAAAAAACGAAAGTACGGCTGTCATACAGATCATGCGTTCGAATCCTGAACGAGAAAGTGAGAAATGAAATTCTGCTTTGTGGCTGAAATGGTACATGCATGATCTGCAGTAGTAGTTGATGGACAGATCATGAGTTCATTTAAAAAAAAAAAAAAAAGAGATCAGACACTTAAAAAAAAAAGAAAAAGTTGAAATCCTCATGTGTGCAATAACGTTAGATCGGGGCCGGGAAAGAAGGCAAAAGAAGGGGGAGGGGAGGAAAGGGGGAAGAAAAGGAAAAGAAGGAGAAGAAAAGGAAAAAAAACCTTTTGTGGAGCATAATGGTGTTGTACATGATTATTATGAACAAACTGAGTGTGAGTTAAAAAAAAAAAAAAAAATCAGAGCAGAAAAATGCAAACGCGGAAGTGGAGAAAATGGCCAGGGATGCGGAAGGACTCGGTTGGGATCGCGGCTGCTCAAGAGGATATTGATGATGATGATGATGATGATGATGATGATGATGATGGGGGCCCGAATGACGACGAAGATGATGATGATGGGGGGGGGGGGGGGGGGGGAGAGGAGGGAGACACACACAGACAGAGAGAGAGAGAGAGAGAGAGAGAGAGAGAGAGAGAGAGAGAGAGAGAGAGGGGTATATAAATAATATCGGGGGGGGGGGGGGGGGGGGGGGAGAATGACGACGATGATGATGATGATGATGAGGATGGTGATGATTCTGATTCTGATGATGATTCTGATTCCAATGATTCTGATTCTGATAATGATGATGATGACGATGATGATCTGATTTTGATTCTGATGATGATTCTGATCTGATTTGATTCTGATGATGATTCTGATCTGATTTGATTTGATTCTGATGATGATGATGATTTTAACTCTGATTTTTATGATGATTATGATGATGATTCTGATTCTGACAATGATACTGGTGATGATGATGATGATGATGATGATGATGATGGTAATGTTTCCGATGATGATGATGATGATGATGGTAGCCCGGAATGAGGTAAAACGGATTTGCGTATCATGTGCTGAAGAGGATGATGATGGTGGTGGTAATGATGATGGTGAGGGGACGATGGTTATGGTTATGGTGATAGTGATGATGGTGGTGGTGGTGTTGATGGTGATGATGATGAGTGTTAATGGCATGGCGGTCGTGACTAGGACGAAGGCCGAGGTCCCCCTAGCCGTGGATTAGCAGATACTCAAGGTAGGTAACGAAGGCGATGCATGCACACAACTATTTCTTCTGCTTCTTCTTCTTCTTCTTCTCCGTTTCTTCTTTTTTTTTCTTGTTCCTCGTTTTTTCTTCTTCTTCTTCTTGTTCGTCTTTTTCTTCTTCGTTTCTTCTTATTTTTCGTCGCCGTCGTTTCCATGACTGCATACGGAGAATTCCCCTCTCCTAATATCCGTACGAGTTCTCGCTCAAATCTTATCAGGGCATATACTCACACTAGGACTTTCTCTCCTATTTTCTGCTCGTGATTAGAGTAAGATACATCCAGTCCGGTCGTAATTGCGGTCAGATACATTCTGGTAAGGGCCAGTGTGAGTGCGCTCTCAGTGAGTGGACACGCGATCACGACCCATCAAGATTTTCGTCGTCAACTTTATCAGTAAGAACGGATCGTTGCAAATCCGCATTCCATTCAAACCCCCATTCCATTCAACCCCCCCCCCCCCCCCCCCCCCCCCCCCCGCGGCCCCCCAAAAAAGAAAAAAAAAAGCATTCCATTTCATAATAATATGATTCCGCGCCAATTCAGACGATTGCTGTTGTGTAGCCCCTTTATCGTCCTCTTTTCTGTTCGTTTGATTGCATCTGGATTCGAACTTCAGTCTGTATTTCAACAGTTCATTACCGTACCAAGTGAGCCAGGCCCGTCGGCCTCATCCTCCTCTTTCCTCCTCGCCTTCTATAACCACCACAGATATTCGCTACGTCCATATACTCATTCCCTACGTAGATATTCACTAGGTCCGCCTACTACAGTCCGTCTCTACTAGCACGGTTTATGACGTACTGGCCGTTGAATCAGTCTGTTTGTGCTGTGTCTTGTGTTGTTGTAGTGTGTGTGTGTGTGTGTGTGTGTGTGTGTGTGTGTGTGTGTATTGTGTGTGTGTG